CACATTACAGAGGGTTTTTAGACGTCAGTTATAAGGGGTTAAAGTGGGTAAGCTGAATTCGTTTTATCTTCACTTTATAAAGTTAGTCAGAAATTGTCTTTTTCATTTATGGAGACTTGCAAATACTGTGTGCAAATGTAAGAGCACATGAAGGAAAGACAAAGAATTTGTGTTTTTAAGAATGGCTACAGTGTGTGTGTGTGGTGCCCTGGATTACCCTCAGAATGTGCAGATGACCGCTACCGAAGGAAGTGGAAGGAACAGCATGTTCACCAACTACAGAGCCAGGAATAACAGAAGCCACACATTCAACAACAGCCATATGACTACAGGCAGGCTCTGATCAGGCACTGCCATTCAGGGTTAACATAATGTTTATACGAAACAGAAAAATGGGCCTCGCTTACAGAAAGACACCTATTTCTCCAAGAAATGTGTGCCCATGGAACAGGAAGCAGTACCTGCAGCCTCTTGACTGAACAGATGGATGAACCCTCAGATTACAGGCGCTGGCCACAGAAACAGGATTTGAAATTCTCTTTCCAGAAAGCACACACCTTTCTCTGTCTTTCACCACAGGTACCAGCATCCCCAATTCTCAGTGTACAAAAGAGATTTTCTGCCTGGCAGTTTACCCCTGCACACAGTGGCACTGCTGCACCAAGTGAAACAGAAAGGTGAATGGGCAACAAATGGAAGCAGGGCCCCATCCTTGTCTTTATTAGTCATTTAAGAGTCCTCAATGTTTTAACACAAAGTTTTCAAAATGTAATAAAAATACACCTACAAGTTAGCAAAGGTCTTCATAATATCCTAAGATATACACCCAAGGATTAACTCAGGGCTATAAACTACTTCTGAAATAATCATTACAGTTTCACATGTGTTTTTAAAATTCATATGTGAAGTAAATTTAATCTGTTTGCCCTTACCTGTTATTTTGTCCCCAGGCCTCTTTTTTATCCTCATGTCAGTGAAACATATAAGATAATTATTTGAATTAATACAGTAATGGAACCCAGAGTAACAACATAGTTAATTTTTTATCTTGAAAAATAAAATGTCCTCAGACATCATAGTAAGGACCAGCCTTCAGGTTACTCTGGAGAGCACACAATAGGACAGGACAGAGGTGAGATCAGTACTCATCACAGGTGAGAGATGCACGGTCTTCTCCCTTCTCATGGGGAAAACCCTGGAAGGAGAGGAAGCAGACTCACATCTAGATCCTCCTCACAGATCTCTGCAGCTACTGTATGAAAGAAATTGCTGACCTAAAAGGTGTAAACTGCAGGTAGATGAGGGTTTGCTGCCCATCAGGAAGTTTTTGCTAGTAGTCATGCCTGAACTCTTGAAAGGGGCACCTTGCAGGCACTTGTCTTCCTCAGTGCTCAGGCTGCTAGGCTGGTGCATCGGAGGGTGGTTCCACACTGCTTTTGGCTATAGTAAAGAGCCCACTCCAGAAAAGCCATCCTGGACAGTACTCCAGGCTGTGCAATACCAGACAAGGTGCCTGCTGTCCCTGCAGCCCCTGCTGAGGTGTCCCCACAGGCCTTGGCCATCTGCCGTGCTCTGGTGCCTGTCCATGCATGGGAGCACTCTCTGCCTCCAAAGGAAGAAGGCAGCATTGATTCCAGGCTGGAGTAACCCCTGTGCTGGGAGCCCATCAGGTGCAGGGGGACAGAGGGTTGCCAAGGAGCATTTCAGGAGTGGGAGAGGAACAGTGGCAGAGCTCCAGTGCTCCAGCCTGCACCCTGGTGCTTCTTAATACTATGTATCTGAATGCATGCATTATATTTACATAAACAAGTGCTTTCCCTGCCGCCCGGCCCAGTGAATATCAAAAAATCCCATTACAGTCTTTGCCTTGGGTGCTGCTTCCACAACCATTTGATTCCTTCTTCTGGCTTGAATGTTTTTGTTTAGTCGACATGTTTTTTCTAAGGGGATATGATTCTGTTTGTTTTACTAGCAAGGCAGTAATTTGGGAACAAAACAAGAACTAATGTTTCATAAAGGAGCCTAACTAAGGAGATGGTGTGAATTAACAAATTGAGCCCCATGTCAGGAAAAGGGCTGTGTCCACAGTCTATCTAACACTTGCATGTGTTACTCTAAAGTCCCTTCCAATCATCTGTGTCTAAGGCATCAAATAGCCTTGCTACAGATGGCTGCCCAGCACCACACACATGTGTGCTCCATCAGCCTGGCATCGGTTTGCCCGTCTCATACCAGCATTCCTGGCAACTCCTTAATGCCTTTCCCAAGACAGCATGGTTTCAAACAAAAAATTCAAGCACAACCCAGAACCTCTTGAACATAAAATTGAAGGTGACGTGCACAAGTCAATGCCAAACAGTTTGGAGGATGATTTAAGTAGCCTTTGTGAAGAAGGTGTAAAGAAAAGCTTTGTAGGTCTGAAAGGAATGCAGGGAGAAGCCAGAAACACAAAACTCCAGAAAACTAAGGGAATCAGAGGAAATAAAAATGTAGAAAGGAGGTAACAGAGGACTGCAATGAGAATGGGTGAATGTATTTTCCCAGCAAGTAAACTGCAAGGCACAGGAAGGGTCCTTCCTACCCAAGTGGAATATAGGACTCAAAATTTAATTAGTGCTTTCTTCTGTCCTTTTTGATCTTTGCACAAAGCATTTCTTCACACAAAGGACAGAGAAGTTTCTCTGGGGCTCTGTGGCACGGCAGCCAGTCTCCCTCGGTTCAGGCATTTCCCGTATTTCCCGGCATAAATGGGATGCCTCTCCCTGCTCTTCCTGCCTGTCCCTCGACCTCCGGAGGAAGATATTCCCGGGACATTTCACTGCGGCAAACGCGCCAGCCCGTGAGGCAAAAGTTTCCGCCGAGCAATTTGCTCTCGCCACCAGAGAAGTTGAAACATTAGCCCAGGACTAGCCAACCCATCTCCCCCGCCCCGGCCGGGCTTGAGCTCCGCTTTCGTGCCGCCTCCGTACGCGCGGCTGGAGCGGGGCTGGAGCGGGGGCGCCCCGCGGCTGCCATCGCCCCCTGCGCGCCCTTCGGCTGCACAGATTTTTTTTCTTTAAAAATAAAAATTGAGTAAATGTCCCTTCTCTCTTAAATACCTCAGCTCTAAGGAAATGGGAACGAGGGTTGCCACAAAAATTGTGCCGAGTAGACTGCACCTGCGGGAGACCCCGCACGGGAGGAGAGCTCAGGGACACACCTTCTGGCGGCCTCTGCCACGGAGGCGAAATGTGACCGACCCGCTCGAGGGCACCTCTTACTGTGGAGGGAGCCTGCTGACGAGCAGGAATTACTTGACAAGACCTCGGGATCCTGAGAAGCTGAGAGAAACGCCAGTAGAAGTTCCTGACATCTGCATCATCCGCCTTGCATAATTTTGCATTTGAGATGCTCCCGTAGGAGAAGACCCTGTCATGAGGAAAGCATCACCACCTTTATCCTGTGTGGGAAGCACAAAAATGTGTTGTTGGGACGATCAAAGCTGTGGGGGAAAGGGGTATCATGTTCTCACCAGTTCTTTGCTTTGATTGAATTAAACTCCGGAAAAGCAATAAGTTACGAATAACTTACCCGGTCATGCTTCCTATTTTGCTTTTAAGGGCCACATATCTCTGAACGGATCTCAGAGTCCTCAAATATATTTATTTTAAATTATACGAAGAGATATTTCACAAAGAGCATTTTTATGCGACCTTTAGGAAAAAAAAAAAAATTAATAATTTTTAAAAAGCCCTAAAGCAAGTTGCCCTGAGCAGCTGCCTTCCAAAGCCGGTCGCTCTCAGGGTTGGCTGAAACGCCTGCCCACACTTAATTTTCTGCCCCGGCAAATCCTAATTCCTATGAAGTCTGAAGGCTTAGTTACATTTAAAAGTTCATTTCGGGAGCAGCTGTCCTAAGCAGAAGTCAAACAGCGCACGCTGACGGCCGTCACAAAATGCGATTTTAAGGCATTCGTTAAAATACACGCACTTCTGGCCTCTGCCCACGATTCCCAGGTGACCTGTCCCGTGCACACCATTGCCAGCCGGTGCTTCGCAGCACACGTGCGAGCATTCAGCTGTGGAAACGGATCGGGCTGTGAAGTGGGGGGCTTGGTTTGATTCGTTTGGTTTGGTTTTCGGTTGGTTGGTTTTTAGGGGGGGTGGTTGTTTTGGTTTTGCTGCTTCCCCCCCCCCCCCCCCCCCATTTAAGCAAAGTTTTACTTAAATGAAAGGCAGGCACCTGCAGTATTTGCACTAACGCTTTAGACCAAACAGGATACCCGAAACGCCGGTTCGGGTATTTCCATCTCTTCGAATGATTCAATTAGGCTTAAATCCCCGGCTTCTCCCCGCTGCAGCGGGAGCAGGTAAGGCCCTCGCACGGCGGCGGCTGCGGCCGGCGGGCCCGGGGCGGGCGGGACGAGCTCGGCAGCCCCCCACCGCACCTCGCAGCGCTCATGACAGCTCTGTCCCTTCCCTCAGCTGCGAGCTAGGGGCAGAGGTTGCGGCTAAGTAGCTAACACCTCGCTCGCATTTCCCAAGGCATCTGGAATAAAGACACCTGCCATGAGGCGTTGGAGAGCCGTGGGTGGAGGGGATATCCAGGGGTGCGCGGGCAGGAGCAAGGGCGCTTCCCCAGGCACGGGAATGTCCTCACACGGCCGCTGCCCGTCCGGAGCGGGCGAGTTAGCGAGCAGGGAGGCGAATCGCGGCAGCCGACTGCTCCGGGCCGCCGCTCCCAGCGGAAGAAGCCGGCGGGGGGCGCGGCGGGGGAGGGACGGCAGCACCTGCCGGGCCCACGGCGGAGCTGCCCAGCCCCGTGCCCGCGCCCTCCTTCCCTCCGCCCGCCCCAGTGCTCATGCGCCCGCCGGAGGTTTAAAGCGGGAGCGGTGGCTGCTGCGGGCTGTTCGGCTCGGCAGCGGTGCGGGGCAGGGCACAGTGCGGTGACCCGGCCGGCACGCCGCTCTCCTGTGCTCAGCTCTGCGCTCAGCTCTGCGCTGCCCTGCCCTCGGTGCGGGCGCGCCCCGCCGCCATGTGGCTCTCGGCCCTGCTCCTCGGTGGGTACCGCGGGGAGCGGCGGGCCCCGCGGGGCGGGCGCGGAGCAGCGCCCTGACCCGCTCCCTGTCTGTTCGCAGGCGCCTTCCTGCTCTCCGGCCCGGTGCGCGGCAGCGACGGCTCGGGTGAGTTGGCCGCTGTTCCCCGTCCACATCCCGTGGGGGTTTCCCCCTCGGAGCGTCTCTGCCCGGCCCTTCCCCGGCGCGCCCGGCCGCGGCCGCCTCTCGCGGGGTGCGCGGGGCCAGCGCCGCCGGGAAGGTGCGCGGAGCCGGCCGGTGGGAAACGGCACCGGGCACGGAGCGTGTCTGGGAACGCTTCCAGACGGGAGTGAAAACTCCTTCCTGGCACGGGCTGAAGCAGCGCCCTGGTGACAAGTGTCCCCATCGAGGGGAGTGCAAGAGTGAGTGGGAGTGTGCTTGTGTGGTTATAAAGGCTCTCGGTGCTTGGCAGTTGAGGATCTCTGGCATATTTTAGACCATGGAATTGATTAAAAATATTCTAAAGTTGCCCTGCCATTATTATTCCGACGTGGAAAGCAAAAGAACATGCTTAGGATGCCTAGCAGGCTATGGCAGGGACTGCCTGTTGTACCACCCTGTGCTGGACTGCATCGTTGCTGCTGGAGAGCAGGCTCTCCTAGAACCAGAATAATTCCATGGGAACCAGGAGCCACAGGAAGCAGTTGGAGAAATATGTGACAGAAGGACACAAGCAGTCTGTCTGCCCCTTTCAGTGGAACCTTTCACCAAAGGAGGATAGGAGCCTCCAGAAGAACATGTCTCCAGATGCAGGCCTGGCCTGCAGAAGGTGAGTGACCCCAAGCTTTTCTGAATGGTTGTTAATGATTTCACAGTTATTAGGAGTCAGGATTTGCTGCTCATTTTGTGTTGAATCAAAGATTTGGAAAATTCTTCTGTGCTAAACTGAAAAAAGCTATCTGTGATGGAATTGCTATGGCTAAAAAAGGGGAAAAATGTGCAGCAATGGAAAACCTACTCTAACCTCCCAGGTCCTTTCCCTTTTTTACTTTGCAGGTGCATTACAGATGAAGTGCTGACAGTCTGACAGGAAACAAGTGAATCTGGGATGCTTCCTTCAGGGCTGGAGAAGCCACTGTAACCTGAAGGTATCTGGAACCAGCTAAAATATCATTAATGTGAACAGTTTTTGTAAGATATTGCCTCTTACCATTATGCTGAACCTAAATTCAGCAACATTTGGTTATTGAACTAGAAACTTGCATTTACAAAAGTGCCTAAATTCTGTTGTACAAAGTAATGAAAGAGCATTAATTTCCTCAAGAATCAGTAGTATTCTACTAATAGAGTAGTATTTAGGCTCGTAATGTTTGTGAAGATCTTGGAGCATCTCAAAACTTTCTTTATACTCCCACCGTAAAGGATACAAATGCTGCCAAGTTCAGCAGCTCTGGTTGCCACACGAGGCTGTGCGGGTGGTGAATGCTGCCGTGTGATGGCAAGTGGCCTTATGTTGGTGAGAAAAGGGCAGGACTCAGATTGAAATTAATGATATTGACCTGGCCAGGTTTCTCTAAATCCCATTACCCCTGTCCAGATCAGGATATGTACTGGAGATTTACATCAATTAGTATGCAATCTGTGAACATGTTTTCCAAAATATGAAGTGTAGGTTTACTAGTATGTCTTTTTTTTTTTCCAACTATTGATATTCCTTGCATAAGATAGAAAAAGCAGGCTTGTTTGAAGCCTCAAAATAAAAAAGGACCTAAAATATTTCTATTGTGAAAAAAAAATACTAAAAGAATAGGAAGCATAATAGGGATTGCAACTCATAGAGCTATCTTCATGTAGGAACCCCTATTTTTAATTTTGTAATCATGTACATAGGATTTCATTTTTCCTTTGCATAAACAAACTGTTTTCCTGAAGCAATGCATGAAAACTTCAAGATTAGAAAATATCAGATTTTGCCTAAGGGGTTTTATTTCCCTAGAATAACTTAAAGCAGTGGCTCATGCTAAAAAATTAAGTCAGAAATTTTATAGATTGACATAAGAGGCAGCTGTTCATGGCAAAATCAGAGCACATGGGAAGGGGCACCAAAAAGATGGAAATTGATTGTAATAATTGAAAACATGATTGATTGTAATAATTGAAAACATGGTTGTTTTAAGAGATAAGTGAGTCTTTGCTTTTTTTTTTTCTGTTTTTTAGGTCAACAATGATGAAAGACATTCGTCCTTACCCTTAAATATGGCCTAAATCAGGAAGAATTACAGTTTCTTTTCCTTGTACCTTGCTTTTGTAGGGTACTCTGATGTAGTGTGTTTCTGTGAAGTTTGAAGGGTGTGTGTCTTGGCAGGATGGGGTAATAGTTGTTCTGTTGTGGTTCTGAAGGCCTAACTGAATGTAACAGAGCATAGGTCTCACATCTTCACCAGAGTCCAGAATGTTTGGAGTCTAGAACTGAATCCTTTCCTGTAAATTATAAAATTATATTTGTTTCTTCCAAGAATACTAGAATTTAGAGTATTGCACCACATAAGTATTGAAAGAAATGCTTCCACTGCTACTGCTCTTGCATTCTTCAATTACAGTGATTAAAACATATGGGTTTTATCTCAGTTAATTTATATAGAGATACAGCTCTGTGGTAGTTTTTGCTGTGTTGAAGTATCTTGGGTATACTAACAAAAACAAGCACTTCTTCAATTTCAATAGCAATATCATATATGAAATTTGTTAGAATGACGAGTATGTAAGCTGTCAAAAACCAATTTTATATATTCTAGTATTCAGACCTCATTAATACATTTTCATGCTTGCAACAAAATCATTGAAGTTTTATGGGTTGGATAGCTGATGAGGCATTGACAAACAGGGAAGAACAAAAACCACTGCAGAGCTGATATCGTAAGTCTTAATTTTTGTAGTCAACAAAAAATTTGCTTTCATTTTGATATTTCACCGAACACTTCTAATGTTAGTTTCTGTTTTAGAGTTATGGCTTAGGGAAAACTGTATCTACCCTACAGAAAATACTGAAATGAAATTGTTGTTTTTAATTAACAGCATTATTTTCCTCAAAGTGTCTTTTTACCTCAGTGCTGATCCAGCTGAGGTATAAACTGCTAAATCCCCTAGCTGCAGCATGTCAGCTCTTCAGTTCACACAGCAGCAACGTGCACCCTTCCCTTGGAAGCCTGAGACAAGGATCATGACAGTCTTTAGGCTGCCAGTAAAGAAAAATCCTGTGGCTGGGCTACAATGGATTTCTGTGTTTTGATTGCCAGGGAAAACACAAAGATTATTTTTTCCCCCCATCTTCTGTGCTATGCAAAAGCCTGCCACATGACAGTAATTAGTAAGTACCTGGTGATGAGGGAAATACAGATCTCCAAGCGATACAGGGTTTGTTAACTACACACATCTGATTACTGTCTTTGTATGCACAGCCAGCCAAGGAATTCAGTCAAGTACATTACATTAGAGACGACAGGAGTTACAACTTCCTGTGGTGTCTTGCACTTTTAGAAGCTGGAAAAATGTTGCAGGGTAAGAGGCACAAGCAGTGCTGTGGGAGCAGAGATTACCAGTGGTGCTTATTGCAATTACTCCTCCAAGGATTTCCAGCCTTCCAGCTGCTGTTTGATTTTGTTGGTCTTGCTAGGTGTCATTTGGTGGATACTACTTGTTCAGTGCCCATTAATTAGCAAACACACTTGTAGAACTTCCATTAAAGGATTAGGGGACTCAAAGAGGAAATCAGGTTTTTTTTAGCATATTGATAATGTAGCACTTTTGACCATGAAATTATGGAGTTTTTAGGTATAAGCACTGGTTCTGCTTGATTTTTCCTTTTTTTTTTTTTTTTTTTTTTTTTTTTTTTTAAGGCAATTAAATAAGACTAAGCATGGCTAGGATGTGAGTAGGTAAGACTAAGTCCCAAAAGAAACTTTTTTTATTTTTTAGAGTACTTGAGAATCAGATTAAATCACTTTAGTTCTTGCTAGGTAGACAACTTTTATTGTCTTGAGAAGTGAAAAATAAAGAAATGCTTAGTGCTTTCTTTTCTTCTTAATCTGAATTATATAGGCAGATTGGGCATATACAAGTCCCATAATTGTACTAACAACTAGTTATTTGCTGCTAATAGCAGCAACAATTTTTCAGGAAGATGTCATTAGGTAGCTTAACATTATTTTAACATAGCATTAATGACTGTTGTATATAATTAAGAGTAAAATTACATGCATGGTTAAGGAATGTGTGTGTTCAATTTACACCGTTAGAATGAACAGACATGCTTCCCATTTCTGGCTGCAACTGTTCTGCTTTTCACCTCTAAAGTCACTGAGATTAGCTGGAGCTATCATCTTTTCCATCCCCTGCTGAAGAACAGCATGTGCTCCAAGTGTTTTCATTTATACACAGCATGTGTTGGGGTCAGGAAACACCCCAGGGTAAGAATGAAAATAGTGGGCAGAAAAGCAGGTGAGAGACAGATCATTGATCCCTGAAACAGAGTCCTTGGCATATAATGCAGTGGTGCATGCACTGGTACCTTGGCCAGCCTCTGCCAGCTTTCATCTGTGCAAAGGAAGTATTCCAGGTGCATTTAGAAAAGTTTCTTGCACCTTCTAGGTGCTGGGGCAAGATGTGCCTTAGGAAGTTCAGAATAAACAGCCAGGCATGGGTTGGACTTGTGCTGCTGGATTGATAATGATTTAAGCCAAATCTCTAATGTGTTGTGCAACAGAGCAGGGGACTATGCTATCTTGTGTAGTAGGAGGATGGTGGTTACCATGCAAGATAAAGACCTCAATGTTTTCAAAAGAAAAAGCACCAGTTTGCCAAGTGAAATTGTGTGCTGATGTCAATCTGTGTCTGCATACCTTCACTGTACACAGGCAAGCACAGTGAAAGCTTAATGATGGTAACCTGGAGAGCAGCTTCTGGAAAAAGGCAGAGTTCTGCATAAAAAATGCCTGTGCCTCAGCTGAATAAATAACTTTTGTATCACTGTGTGAATCTGACAGCCCTCTGCACAATGATAATGATGTAAACTTCACTGTAATGAATTGATACCAATGTTCTAGATGTTACTGTATACTGGAGCAATGAGATGTGTGTTCCTTTTTTTTTTTTTTTTTTTAACGTTGGCCTCAGTAGGATTTATTGCAAGAGGCTAAGGGAAATGCTGCTGTCAACTTGCTTCATGAATGTCACTGGAGAGAAGATTCAGAATTTTGCAAGTGACTTATACGTATCTTATGGCTGGAGATTTCTGTGGGGCTGTCATAGTGATTTAGTTTCTTCCTTGGAAACTGCCACCTGCATCTGTGGTCTGTCAGCCCTCAAAGGTCTTCCCCTTGCCCTTCTGTCTCTGCAGTAAATTTACAGATATGGATCGCTTTTCTTTGTGTAATGTTCCTTGATATTATTTTCATGTTATTTGTTCATGGGAGTTTTTTTCTTGCTACTTTTTTCCCATAAGTAATTTTGAAGTATGTGCTTCCTTGTCATAACTGTATATTTGTAAGATCCAAAGACATCTTCATAGGCATTGTACCTAATTTCAAATTCAGATATTGCTTTAAACTTGGAAACTGTAGACACATTAAAAAAAATCCCCAAAACAAACCCTTAAGACTTTCAGGTCAAAAGTTCTTCTTTTCTCTTTAGCTTCTACTGCTATCACGTGCTTTACAAGAGGACTTGACCTTAGAAAGGGGACAGAAGATGTCCTTTGCCCAGCAAACTGTCCTCTGTGGCAATTTTATGTCTTTGGGGATGGAGTTTATGCCTCTCTTTCGAGTGTCTGTGGAGCTGCCATACACAGGTAAGTCATTGCTAATCCTTGTGAGTTTAGTGAGTGAGTTTGTATAGTTTATAAGTGAGCTTATATAGTCTCTGCCACACTTACAAATCTCAGCCTTGATGCTATCATAGCAAAAATCTCTCTGGATTTTGGGTCCTGTTAACTCAATAGGAATGTCACTGGGAGAAGAGAAAACTAGGGAAAAAAGAAAAAAGAATGTCTGTGCAGCTTGAAAGTTATCTGAATTCCTAAAAACTGCTTTAACTTCCTCTGAAATGGCCCAGCATTGTCCACAGTGGACTTTCACTGTAAAATCACTGGTATCACTAGTAGATATGGAAGGATACAGTATAAATAGTAATTGAAGAAATAGTAATTGAAGAATAAAAGCAGATTCACTTTCTGACTTTAAAATCTTGCATGGAACAAACTGTTTAAAAGAAGTGGAGGAAAAGTGGTTTCAATTTTTTTTTTTTAGCATCAAGCAACAGAAGAAAGCTCTTTCAGAACATATTGATGTGATGCTGCAGCTATCAGAGTATTTTTCTGTTAAAATACCCACAACTATAAACTTAAAATTTTACAGAAATAAAACCAGCTAGAAGATAAATGAGGAAAATAAAACTTCCTTGAGTTAGTATTCATTGCTTGACACTTGAAATGCCATTAAAAAAACATTCCAAGCATTTTAAATAATATTTAGGGAGCTGTCATTACTATCTAGAATCTTATTTAAAGTGTCAGTTAAAATATTCTAACTTTTAACAAGGTTTCCAAAATTTAGGCTATTTGTACAGTATTTAAACTCCTAAGTAAACTAAAATGAACTTTTTTAAAAAAAAAAATTACTTAAGGAGGGGTTTTGAGTAGAAACTCTGGAGTTTCTCAAATGCTGTGAAAGAATCTAGGGGCTAATGTACTATAGGAGGAGTTAGAAGGAGCTTGGCAGGTACCATGTGGGTCTGTTTCTATTTGTTTTTAAAGCTGAAGAGTTTGTCTCATATTTACATGTTTCCATGTGTATTTTATTGTTAGACAGGCTTCCTTCTGATGCTTCTGTAAAAAGCATTAAGGTCTCCATTTAGTGTATTTTAAGAGACTTCATGGGTGTTTAAAAAAATTACTCTTCAATTCCTCACTCTTCCTAGCTAAGGTATATAAAAAAGGTTTGTGAAGAATGTCTAGATCAAATGCAGGTAGTGACTTTGGATTTGCTCTTTTTATTGTTTTTCTTTATTGAACTGAGGAAAACCCAAGATTTCTTTCCATTGTCTTTTTTTTTTTCCCCTGAGGCAATGTTTGTATTTAATGATGTAGCCAATTATTTTAACATTCCATTTCTTGCCAAAGATGTCTTTAAAGCGAAAAGAGCTCTTGCTGTCAAGACCTTCTTCTAAAGAGATTAAAGACTTGAATGTTTTGAAAAGACACAGAAGTTCCTGACCAGTTCAACCAGGCAGCAGTCTCGAATCTCCCATGCCAGGCTGTCAGTGACTGACTTAACAAAGTCCCACCACAAAAGCTGCTGGGGCTCAGTTCTGTCACAGCTGGGAAATACTTCTACAAAAGGAGGAGGTACAAGAAATGGCAGAGGCATATTTCTTTCAATGATTTGCATGGTCTTCCCCTAGATAATAAAGCACAAGCTTTCTTTTATGGTTATCACTTAGCTCTTCACTGAAGTTTGTACCTTACAAACTATGTGTACTACTGTTCTTCAGCCCAGAAACATGAGGCTATAGAAAAATCCATGCTTTTCCACAGTAAGAGTCAATCTAAATTGTACTTGTGAAATATGCAACCCTTTTTGTACGTCCTGCATCTAACAGTCTCTCTCCACAGACATTGTGAGAATAATGAGGGCTCTAATAGTGATAAAGAGATTAAAATATACTCACTTTTGTAATCTGTCTTCCAGATTGGGTTTAAATTAATCTTGTTCAAGTCTTTGAGCGTGGCAAACTGCAGTAAGGGGTTTTGAAAGAGCAGACTAAAGGTGAAAAATTATCTGTTTAGGTGAACTGCTGTTTCTAAAGACTGCTTTTAAGTTGGGGGCTATTAGTTCTGCTGGCCTTTCATTCTCAGAACAGAATTTGCTGCATGAGAATGTTTTGGTAGCTTTGCTGCAACTGTTAACATCCATAACTAGTCCTGGCAAAAAAGGATTGATGCATGGAGAAGAGACAATAGCTGATTAGTTCTCTGCTAATTTCAGTGCAGCCTGCAAAATCCAACAAAAACCTACAAGATACTTGCTCCTTCTTGCCCTGTGTTGCAATGTCTAAAACCCATATTGGCATGAAAGAAGACATTGGCAATAGGTGATTGGAGTTTGCTGTTATTGTGATCTAAGTAGATCTATGCTTTGAAAATTTTGTAAATTTCTTCCAAATACCTGAACTAACCCCTTGTTTCAAGCCAGGTGCACCCTCCATTTCACTGCCTGGTGAGTGCAGATAGCTCTGTACCTTCGGCACTGCTGGGTCCTGGCCCTGTGTCACCTGCCATGTGTCAGACAACCACCCAGCATTTCAGGAAACACCAGTCGTGGGAGCAGGGCTCGTTCAGTTTTTTAAACTGAAAATGGTTGTGTGAGCATGGGTCTCTTCCACATACACTTCAGTTTGCATGCTGGGTCTACATTGAAGCTGGATTCCTTAATTTTGTGTAAATCAAATAGTGCTTAGTCCTAAGAGTAGTTCCATTACTTTGAGGCAGATATTAATGCAAGAATATACTATGTAATACATGAAAATAATTCAGCAGAATTCAGCTACAAATAATTCTGTGTATTACAGATGAATAATCTTTCTGCCTGTTTCAGCTTGTTATATTTGGCTTTTTCTCTCATTTTATGTGTAATTACTCTCAGGAAACAAAATATTTATTTAATATTATTCTTTTTCTGGGCAGAAGGATAAAAGATGTATTTGTTGAGGGAAGAATGGAGAACCTCCTACCAGGCTGACACTATGTAGGCATGAAGAGCTGAGTTAAACCTACCACTGAGTGATTAATTGGATTAATAATCAGAAGGTCAAATGAAGGACTAGGTTCTCAGTTTGTGCAGTTCTGTTCCAGTGCCAATTCCACTAAATGGAGACCTAGCCTAATGTGTTAGTATTTAGATGTTAAATAGGCATGTAATTTTTTTCATAGCCTTTCTAATTTGTCAAAGGGTAAAACCAGTCCTCATTAAGCACTGGGGTCCCAGAACTCAAGTCTACCAAAGGTATATCATGGTATTACTGAGCTGGCCACAAAATGCCCATAAACACAGAGAGCACCTGAGCTGCCCCAGGGTTTGCTGGAAGAACATTGAAGGGATTTCTGAGCAGCTGTAGATCCCTGGGAAATGTTGGTTTCATGCCTGCTTCTGCTGCTGAACTTCTTTCCTGCCAAAAGCAATAGGGGTGCAGAGAAAGAAAGGAAGAAAGAAAGAACACAGCTTAGGGGTCCAGAGGATGCTGGCGTGAGATTTTGAGTGGCTCCGTATCGGTGATGGATGGCAATCAGGCAGCAGCAGGACACCAGTTTGGAGACAAGGAGGATAATTGGATAATTCTTGGGGTGATGGAGAAAGGCTGATTATTTGGAAGGAGTTTGCAGATGGTGATAGTAGGAAGGTAAGATGGGAATTCAGGCAATTCAGCTGTCTTGCCTGAAGTCCCTGAGGATAAACTGACTGCAGTTACATCCATAAGGCTCACCTCCCATGGCCAGAAGACTCTCTTTGTGGTCTAGGCATCAGTTTTGATGCGTAGGCTCCTTGAAAATTCACTCGAATTTCAGCAACACCCTGTATCTCTTTCTCCAAGAGTGCAAAGAAACCGTTTTTGCACACTGAAGAAGTGCATGGGGATCCTAAAAACCTTGCATTTAATGTGGTGATTTATCTCAATTCAGTTCAGATTTTTAAAAATGTTGTAGCTGATGACTAAGTGTGTTTTAGTCCTGTATTTTATAAGACCTTTCTGCTGTCCTTGGCTGGTACACCTTCTTTCACAAGCTGTTGTGCAGTGAGGTACAGGATTACTGCCTTGTGTGTATCTGCTTTTCTGTTTGTGTCCATTTTTGAGTGAAAAATACCATTTAGGTATACATTACAGGTTGTTATTAACAAGCTAGGCAAGAGAATGGACTGAAGCTTTTACATAAATCCCCTGTTAAGCAGCACTGGCAGCAGCATATAACATAATGAGTAGGGAGGTGGAAGCTGTTCCTGGAAAATCTGCTGAGCTCCAGTTTAATCAAAGCAGCCATGGCATGCAAGTCAGTCACACAGGAGCAAAGCACAGCAGTGAAAAGCAAAGCAGATTGCAGTGGCATAAGTCATTCTGAGGAATGCATAGGCGCTTCTTCACTCTTTAAAAACCATTGCAGACCCACAGAGGATGAATCTTGTTTTAAAAGTCAGTCATAAATCATTGCAGAAAGGAATTTGCCGGTGTGGTTCAAAACACAAAGGTAAACTGGCAATACGTGGTTTGCTCCATGTCAGCAGATATAAATATACACTCTGAGTAGACCTACCTGAAGAAGCATCCCAAGTAAAACTGACCAGATTGTAGATGGCCTTAAACTGTTAACTCGCCTACAGAACAAAATGGCAAGAAAGAAGGAATAACTTTCATAAGGCTACAGGTCATGTTACATTCACATCTAATATCAGCCCCCACTTGCATTAAAAGTAGCAGAGCTGTTGTGTGGAAAGTATTTATCTTCAGAAGGCAGCATGGAACTTTGACTTGTGCTCAAATACAGAATCATGTATTTTCAACAAGTAGATAAGGAGCAAATAAATCTACTCCAGCTCAACTGTAAAGCTTCCAAATTCAGTGGAGCCTAAGTAGATTATTATTTTTCCTCTAGAATTTTCAATGACATTTAATTAATTGTTATTGTTGCAATTAAAATGTAAAGGCCAATAGACAAAATGGAATGATATAGACAACGCTGATCACAGTGTGCCTATAAGCTTAAGTTGTTTCCATTCCTGGAAACAACATTCTTAGGCTGAGCTTTCAATCTGAATGTTTTTCTTGAGTTCAGTTCAGCACTCAAATTTGTGAGTCCACAACCAAGAAAGTGGGAAGAGATCCTGAGCTCTTCTTAGGAGCTAACATGGGCATGGATCAGTTTGCTCATGTAAGCCTGAAGTGTCTTCACTAAAATTGCAAGTACAAACTTAAAATAGGAACTGTTCCAATTAAACACATTCTATTTGACACATTTCCTTATCCATTAAGATGGAGACACTTATGAAGGCTTGAATGCCTAAGAGAACCAGGTATTGAAGAAGAAATTTATATTCTAAGTAGACTAAAATAGTCTAAGTACATTTATGTGTAATTTCTCTCAAAGATAATTTTGACTTACTGAATTTTCCTGTCATTTAAAACTAAGCAGTTGATAACTCTTGTCTGATTTTTATCTCACTGTTTTTTTGAAGAACTATAAAGTGCTGTTTGTATTTGCTAACTTTACAAACTGATTTTAAATTAATTTAGTGTAAGCTTACTAAAGCTCCTTTGTCTATATATTCTATAAAGTATTCCTAGATGAGAATATATCTGTATATTTTGCAACTATTCCAAGCTACTAGAATTAAGTGTTTATAGTCATGGTTCAATTTAGAAATGCAAGTCACATCCATGAAGAACTAATGTCTTTTAATGCTGTTCCAAATAGAATTTTATGTGGAAGTTGCCTTTGCCACAGATACCCAGATCTCATATTATCAGAAATACATGTCAAGTTTTTTAAACTCTGGTCTTGATTATTCTACTTTCACAATATGTTAAATTGGATTAGGCCAGGTTGTCTTTTCAAGCAGGAAGCCAAACAGAATCAAAAAGTAAACACAAAAGCACACATTGCTGTGTTTAAACAGTCATGAAATGATTGCTTGTCTCCCACAGAGCTGTACTTGCCCACATACTACAAGGCATCAAGTTTTGCTCCCTCTTAGAGAAGTACAACTTTGACTTTTGACCTCTAAAAATAACAACTGTTCTTTCAGTTATTCTCTTTTTCACATAAAAAGAGATCTGACTGTTCTGGTTCTTCTTATTGTCACTTAGGAATTGATATGGCCTGAAGCATCGCTGTTCTGCATTAGTCTAAGTGCCAGAATTTTAGACTTTCCTGACTTTTTAAAATTAATCTGTGTGATGTTCTGTAGAATACTTTCTTCTGAAGTCTTTTCAGCAACTTAAAGATTGTTCTAGCCTGACCACAATTGCCTGCCTCTATTGCATCTTTTTGAGAAGGCTGGTGACAAAAATTCTAATGCTGGTATTATCTGTATTGTATTTTCTTGTGACTAAAATATCTGATTTATACCAACTCTTTTTCAACCTTAGTGGGGTGATTACCAACACAGGAGGAGCTGTAAGGGTACGGACTCTCCCAGGACAGGAACACTACCCTGCTGTAAATGCTAATGGAATCCAGTCTCAGGTGCTCTCTAAATGGGCTTCGTCTTTCTCAGTGACTGGTAGGTGAATCACACTTACTGTTTTGCAAACTATATTTGAAGCTCTAGCAGAACTGTGGGACACTTCCTCAGTGCTTCTGTATGCATAAAGAAAGTGATTGTTTAGCAACAGAAGGTTTCGCATCTAATTCATTCTTTTAACTTCGTTTTTCCTCAATTATCGAAAGAAAAACTATTCCAGCTAGAGTAGCTAGTCTGTAGCAGAAGCTGATACATAAATATGGGGCAGTTATTTAGAATATAAGCTAGCAGACAGTTCACAGTTCCATGACAGTTTGAGCTGACCAAAGTCAGTGCTTTGATCCTGCCACTGCAGTCCACTCCTCCTGCCACTTCCAGCCATTTAGTTTTATCCCTTCTCTCCCTCTGCTTGCATTTGTGCAGGGAACAGCACTTTGTCAGGCCCTTCAAATACCTTGTGTGGCATTCCATGCCTCCGAAAATAGTAATAACATCAACTTACATGTGATGTGGTCATTAAGCTACAGTGCAATGTAGTGGTTTAGTCCAGAAGTTTCTGTCCCCATTGTTGAGGTAGTTGTTAGTTATTAATTGCCTAATTGCAAACCGGTTGTCATGCCTTGCCACTCAGGTGAGGCTAAACCACCCTCATAAAATCATATGCAGAAGCATATTGGTTGTGTATGATGTTGTGGTTTCAAAAATATTGAAGCGGGTGTTTGCTCGCATAGAAAATTTGTGAAGCAGATCTCTGTAATGGGTTCTTACTGTTTACACAGCTAAAATTCAGCCTACTATCTAAGATATTAGTATTCCATGTATAGTGCTCATGGCAAGTTGCTAGCTAACAGCTTGGAATTAGAGGTGCTTTTGGTGAGGGTGAAGGTGAAATCCAATTCTCCAGGTCAAGCCCTCTCTTTATCTGTTGGAAATAATGACTACTACAGCTCAAAACCTCTCATCAGATATATATGCTGTAATTACTCATCAGCTGCTGTTGTTTCAAATGCAGAAATTAATTACCTGTAAAACAGAGACTGCAATACTGGATTACACCAAAGGTTTGTCTGGGCTCGTGTCCTCCTCCCAGAGTAGCTAATGGCAGATGACAAAGAAAGGTTATTGCAAGCGCAGTAATCTTTCAAGCACTTGTAACTTCATCTAAATACACTAAAATCCAGCAAAAGTATTCTCATTTTAGCAGGTACCAAGGACACAGCACTTGAAGCAGTGGGACGATCGGTGTCAACAGCCCGTCCTTCCACAGGTGCGTGATCTCCGCAGCCAGGGAGCCCCTCCAGGTGGGATGCTCTGCAGTGTGCAAGTCCCTGGCTGAGAGAACATGATTTGTGAGACTCATTTAATTTTGAAGAAGAAAACAGATGCAGTATCTGGTTTTGCAGTGTCTCTTTCACCAGAAAAAAAGAGGAATCATATGTAATCTTGGGAGATTGATTCTGATCTCACTAATGTTCATGCAAATTTTAAATAAACTGGAATGGTTTTTGAAAAGTAATAGAGATAACACAGAGGAAGGTAAGAGTTCATGAGCTCATGTGATGTTCGTTCTTTTTAATTGACGGAGAAGACAGAGTTAAGGCAGTCCTTCTTACAGAACTGCTGAACAGCTGAGTGCTGTCAGGACATGCATAGCAGAAATTTAGTTGTTATGTGAGTTTCACCACAGAAAACGCTGCATTAAACCCTTTTTATGAAGGTTAAGTGCTGTATAAATACTGGACTTGGATGTTGTCTGTGAACAGACAGCCTGGATTACAGTTTAAGTCATGGTTGGCTTCCAAACCATTAAAAATCCATTGTACAGCAAGGTTGCTAACTGAGAAACAGTAGCACTTGGGAAGGCGAGGTACAGAAATCCACCTAGCTTTGTACAACTCAGCAATCAGTCAGACAGGTGTAGAAAGGAAGGTTAAGCTGTTTCATTTGGGAAAGAATATTCTCCAAGGAGCAAAGCAGTAGTAGCCCAAGTTTAATTATTAAAATGATTGACAATTCCTACTGCAGATAGATTGCACTGTAATTTCTGTAGTCAGAGCTTTTTCTGGTTTACCTCAGTCCATTCATCTTCTTGTTCTTAAGTGATCCATGCTCTTTTTTTCACTGAAGGTAAAAGACCTAAGAAGACTCTTGATAAAAAGGCTGGAAACAAAGGTAAGAACACACAGATTTAACATTTGCAAAGCAGAATCCTCACATTTATTTGGTGTTAATAAGTATAATTATTTTGGATGTTCACAGACTGTAAAGCTGATATTGCCTTTCTCATTGATGGAAGCTACAACATTGGCCAACGTAGGTTTAACTTGCAGAAAAACTTTGTTGGAAAAGTAGCTGTAATGTTGGGAATTGGAACAGAAGGGCCTCACGTTGGGGTCGTACAGGCCAGGTAAGGACAGACCTCCACAAAATATAATGGAGCAATTGATAAGAGAAATCAATTAGCATGTCACTTCTCCTTTTGCAGAACAATATCACTCAATGAGGGCTGATGAATAGCAAGGGAAAGAAACTCTTGAGCCGTAGCACTGTTAGCTCTGTGCTATACTGAGATGTGCATGTGAGACAACATGACAAATTTGAACATTTTCTGTCTCTGACATTTGATATTTGGCTAGAGAGCAGCTGGTTGTTTCACAGCCCCTTTGCATCTCAGTAGAACAGCAGGAAATACCCTGCAAAGGAGAAATGCCAGTTTCTAAAAATTGCAGGGAGAGAATGGTCCTTAATGGCTATGTACATGTACAAAACAAAAATGTCCTCTTACCAATTGATAAAATATTACAGCTGGTATTTTTCAGATGGTAACTGGTCACTTGTTTTTGCTTTCTACTGTAAATTAAAAATGAAATCAGGAGACAGAATACTTAGTCTTTAATTTCTTAGTCAGTAACTAGCATACCTTCAACTTCTCAAATCAAAACACTCAAACTGCACTTTGCAGGATTTTTGTAAAGGGAAGGTATTTGTCATACAAATAGTAGAAAACCTGCCAATCTTTAGTTACACAGATGAATTTAGTTTAATGTCTGGCATGTTCAATTTTTTTCTTGATGTATTTTCAACCTAATGTTGTCAGCTGTTTGATAAGCATGAGAATCAGGCTGTCCTTCATTTATCCACGGGGGTAGATAATTCCTCTTGCTAAGGATTGCAAGACTTACTAAGCAAGAAGCATACTTACATTTTAGTATTGAAATCCAGAGAAGAATATATATTATCATGAGCAAAACTATTCCAAGTGTGTTTTAGCTTGCTAACGCCAGTATGAAAAGTGAACCTTATTACTCTGTTTTATTTTTCCACAGTGAATATCCAAAAATTGAATTCTATCTGAAAAACTTTACTGCTACAAAAGAAGTTTTGTTTGCCATAAAGGAATTAGGGTTCAGAGGAGGCAATTCCAATACAGGTGAGTTCATATTCCCCCCTAAAACACAAATCGCTTCTTTATGTATTTTTGTATATATATGTATATGTGTTTGTGTAAATATTGAAGTTCATAAAATTCACATAGGTCAGGAAGTGTTTTAGATGCCACACTTACTTAATCAGGTTCAGTGATTTTCCACTAGAACATTGCCACATCTCACATTTAATTTCTAGAAGTTAGGTGTGCTTATTACACATTTAATTAGAGTACAAGTGTTTATACGTGTCTAAATGTTTCCTGCATTTTAACAATAATTGACTTTTCACTAGTAACAGAATGATATCTTGAGACAGATTGATAAAAGGCTTAGTGTTTCTTTCTCGTTGGATGGCTAATTAAAAGTTAGACTTGGAGTAAGGAGTAAGAGATGACATCGTGGTTTAGCCCCAGCCAGCAACCAAGCCCCATGCAGCTGCTGGCTCACTTTCCCCTAGTGGGACTGGGGGAGAACTGGGAAGAGGAAAATGAGAAAATCTGTGGATTGATAGACAATTACTAGGGAAACCAAAAGCCACTCACATAAGCACAGCAAAACAAGGAAATATTCACCATGTCCCATGGGTAAGTAGGTGTTCAGCCATCCCCAGGAAAGCAGGGCTCCAGCTCACCTAACAGTTCATGCCCACACTCCAAATGTCCCCTCTGCTTCATTCCCCTTCCCACAGCTTTACATGCTACCATGACACTATGTGGTGTGGAATATCCCTGTGGCCAGCTTGGGGTCAGCTGTCCTGGCTGTGCACCCTCATCCTTCCCGCTGGCAGGGTGGCACAAGAGGCAGGAAAGGCCTTGGCACTGTGCAAGAGCTGCTCACCAGTAACAAAAACATCCCCCTACTGTCAACACCGTTTTCCACACAAATCCAAAACTCAGTCCCTACTAGTTAATCTGAAGAAAATTAATTATCACAGACAAAAACAGCCAGACATTGAAACTAAGCATCTAATTATGTTGCATTTCACAAGCTAAATTTAGGTAGCTCCTGAACTTTCTTCCTTCCAATGCATTTGGCAGGTACTAATATACCTACTTCCTAGTAGGAAACTAGACCCACAAGCAAAAAAACATCTCAGGGAATTGCACCCTAGCTTTATCTGTGGGGTTTTTTGGTGGGGGGAGGGGTGTTGGTTTGGGGTCATTAATTTTTAACTTAGAGGTTGCCCAAGCTTCTTTATTACCAAATTTCCTGGGGCACCAATTCAGTGCTGCTCTGCTTAGTCCTGTAGTTATACATAAATCCTGCACAATTTCAGATGGGAAGCTGATCCCAGAATGTACCAAATAATGTATGCATTATTTCTTTTTATTCTTTTCTTGTTCAAAACAAGGCAAAGCTTTGAAGTACACAGCTCAGAAATTCTTCTCTTTGGAAAATGGAGCACGGAAGGGAATTCCCAAGATCATTGTAGTGTTTCTGGATGGCTGGCCCTCAGATGATCTAGAAGAAGCCGGCATAATGGCCAGAGAATTTGGAGTCAACGTGTTCATTGTGTCTGTAGCAAAACCCACAACAGAGGAGCTGGGAATGGTACAAGACATTGGCTTTGTTGACAAAGTAAGAAAGAATTTGGTTTGTAAGAAAGAATGTCATTATCTGGTTTTCAGTCATAAATATAATTCTGGAGAATTTACAGTAAAATTCTAATGAACTAATATATGTATATATAATAATTCATACAAATGTATAGGCATAAAAATATTCTCTCAAGCCAGCTGATTAAATTATCCCTGCTCATAAGTGATTTAAAAGATGAGCAGAAGGGAGGTTAAAGAAGCCCTGGAGATTTTTCCTTGCTAAAGGGGCCACACAAAGGTACCATTGTGCTCCCAGTTCAGAAGCTTGGCCAAGTTGTAGCTCCTGGAATTTGTAATTGCATGAAGACTCTCAGTGCAGGAAATTCCCTTATCTCAGGTATGGCTGAATGTGCCAAAACAATGGCATGCTGATGTGATACATTCTCTCTCCCAAAAGGGCAGACAGGGAGGTGCTTATTTCTTACCTGCTCTGTGGATAATTATTTACTTACTTTCATTACTAAGAGGACAGAAAATATGGAAAAACACATCCTAGCAAGTCTGTGTACAAGACTTTAATCTTGTATGCAGAGTTTTGGATCTTGTTCCTTTTGAGTTAGAGCAGGAATTCAAATAGCAATCACCCACTCTCACATGAGCTTTCTGATCAGTAGGTCTTTACTTACTCTGCAGTGAGAAAACCAGTCATTTTCCACAGGGAGGTTGTAGATGTCTATTTTCAGCAGAAATGGCATGAACAGAACAAAGCCCTGCTTCTTCTAGGGCTAAGATATCTAGCTGCTGACCCCAGAGGTATTGCAGGCAGGTCCAACCCTTACACACTTAGAGAAGCACCATGGAGTGGTTTGGGCTGGAAAGGGCCTTTAAGGTTTTGTAGCTCCCACGCCCTTGCCATGGATAGGGATGCCATCCAACAGACCAGGTAGCTCAGGCTTGGCCTTGAACAGTTTTGGGGATGAGGCATCCCCTATTCTGGGTAAACTCTCCTAGTGCCTCACCATCCTCACAGCAAAGAATTTCCTCCTAATATCTACTCTAGATCTCTCCTCTTTTTGGAGATCTCTTTGCCTTGTACTATCACTGTCTGTCCCTGTACAGGCACAGAAAGACATGACCTTAAGTGGCTGAGGCCTGTCCTCTCCTTCTGTATTTTGATCTTAGCTGGATTAGTTGAAAAGCTGATTTTGAATTTAACCCATTTTTCAGTTACCTTGTACTTCACATGCATCTGATGGAAGCTAGGGGAAAAGAAATTTTACTCTGAATGACCTGGAGCTATATTTCTACCCAACTCTGTCTGTGTTTGTGACACATTATAGATTAAAAAGTTCATAGGGAAAACACAGAGGCTAATTTTCAGTGTATATGCAAAAATACAGAAATATCAATCCTTTGGCTATTTAGTGTCATGACTCCGTTGGCATACACAAAACAAAATGACAATTTTCAGTTGTTGCACTTCTTGTAAATAAAGCTAAATTATTTGAAAACTTTCATAGCTTGAGGGGCAGGGTTGGCTTTATTATTGGACAAAATGAGCTGCATTGTAGTTTACATTGACTTCAAGTGCAGCTGTTTCAATTTCTTTAGACACAAGCACACAAAAACCCATTCTAAGCTCCCACCATGAGGCTTCATTTCTAACCTGCTTTTGAAAGAAAAATCATAGGTGTCTGAGTATTATCCATTGAACTGCCCGGTTGGCATTCACCCATTCCCTTCATGTTTTCAAACAGGCTGTCTGTCGAAACAACGGCTTCTTCTCTTACCAAATGCCCAGCTGGTTTGGTACTACCAAATACGTAAAACCTCTTGTCCAAAAACTGTGCTCACACGAGCAGATGTTGTGTAGCAAGACTTGCTACAACTCAGTGAACATCGGTTTCCTGATAGACGGTTCCAGCAGCATTGGAGAGAGCAACTTCCGCCTCGTGCTTGAGTTCGTGAGCAACGTGGCAAAGGCTTTTGAGATCTCTGACATCGGCTCCAAGGTGGCAGCCGTGCAGTTCACCTACAGCCAGAGAACAGAGTTCGGCTTCACCGACTACGTCACCAAGGAGAAGGTGCTCTCGGCCATCCGCAGCATCCAGTACATGAGCGGCGGCACCGCTACTGGCGATGCCATCTCCTTCACAACCAGGAATGTGTTTGGGCCAGTGAAAGATGGACCTAACAAGAATTTCCTCATTGTTCTGACTGATGGTCAGTCTTATGATGATGTTAGAGGACCTGCTGCAGCTGCACAAAAAGCAGGTAAATTATGTATTTTGGAAAGCAGTGGAAGTTGATCCATGCTGCAGTGGAAGTTGATTTCTGCTGCGCTGCAAATGTGAAGATTTTAAAGTTTGCAAAGTATCATACTTTGAGTTCAGCAAAATGTAAGCCCCTAGAAACTGTTTTCCTTTAGGGTGAAAAAACCCAGCAACCAGTAACAGAGAGCCAGGTATGACTGGACTCACTTATGGCAGCTTAGGCATCAACATATACCCAGTCTCATTTCCCCAAACAGTAGAGCAAGAATAATGAGCCAAGTAGCTCCATCATCATCTAGGAAGGGAATAAGCAGTTGTGGCCAAAAAGCTCATTGGGATGATGATGCTTGAAGTATGAGTATATAAAGGCACCAAGTTACACAAAGGAACCAAACTTACTTTCAGAATCATTTTACACAGTGTTACTTATGTTTCAAGACTCATATTGTAACCGCTACAATCCTATGTGTCACTACAAGAAGAACTCAGTCATTAGCTCTTATGATACCTCATATTTCCTCCAGGATTTTTCCTGAGTCAAATCTAATTCCTGGTATTTAATGGCAAAATCTAATTATCTTTGACAGACTGCAGGTGTTGAAACATGCTTTTCAAATCCACATTGATTCATTAATGTAGAAATGGCTGGTTTTCTCGTATCTGCAGGCAAAATGGTCTTTTTTTATTTCCTTTTTGTAGGAATAACAGTCTTCTCTGTTGGTGTTGCCTGGGCACCTCTGGATGATCTGAAAGACATGGCTTCTGAACCAAGAGAATCTCATACTTTCTTCACCAGGGAGTTCACAGGATTGGAGCAGATGGTTCCTGATATTATTAGAGGCATCTGTAAAGACTTTTTGGACTCTAAACAATAAAAAATCTGCTGTTCACTATTACTATTTGAAACTAAAAATCATGACATTGAAATGGTCCCTCTAAAGTACCGATGTTTTATTCTTATATATGCTATCACAATACAGAGGAAGAAGGGCTACTTTTTGTTTCTGTAATCAGCCAAAGATTCTTGTGAGCTTGTTAGAAGTTGTTCTTGATCCTGAAGTGCAGAATTTGGCCAACAGTTAATACTTTCAACAAGCATATAGCATCCTGACGTTCAAAGCTTTGCATATCGTGCCCCTAAGAACAGCAGATACTCAGAGGAAATAATACAGCTCTGACACTTTTTCTGACACTTGCTGGATACCTTCTTAGGAGTTAAAAAAAATATAACTTTAAATACAAGGTACTACCTTCTATAAGCTTTCTGTAGCTTACAATTCTACATATTTTCAAAGAGTTCTCTGATAACAGAAAGTAGTTTCAGCGCTCCTGTTGTGCAACATCCATTATTGCCAGGCAGCTTAAGAAAATATATGACAGATTGTAGCTGAAAGAGTCTATTTTTGCTAGCTGGGGTTTTGCTGGATCTGGTTGGCAAATTTTACATCAAAATTGTTAAATTTTATGCCCACAGATTTCTGTGGATCTATTTGGTTGGTTCTGTTGGCACAGAATTTTAAAGGTATTTAAGGCACAGTAGTTCTTTGAGAATCTGGATCCTAATATATTAGCTACTACTGCTGCTTTCTGCACCACTGAAGTCAACAGCAATATTCCAAATATAACTGACAACCGGATATTTCCTGTCTGCTGCCTTGTACTGTCTTGATTTGACAAAGTTGTTATTGGCCAGACAGTTAGAGACAGGACTCTTGGGCCAAGAGATTAAATGAGACCACACAGTGGGAACTGAAAGCATTCAAATTCAAGTCCAGAGGTACCTCAAACCTTTAAACCTAATGGATTTACATCAGATTTGATGGTCAGAAAAGAAGAGAGTAGGCAGACACATTAAGTTGGATTTAGTAGTTCAGAAAATTACAACTTCATCATGGTAGCAAAAACATCTTTATAGATGTGTGAGGTGAGCTGAAGATAAAAGAATAGTTTTCTTGAAAAAGGCTTTCATTTGATTACATACCTAGTAATGTTGTTATATTTATATGCACACATATGTGGCTAAAATGATGTGATATTCACCAAGTTATTCCAGAGTCCTGGTGTGAATAACATACTCCAAGTATTCTTTAGAAAATAAAGGGGGTTTGCAAATAAAATGTATAGTAGAAAACAAAACAGCACTTTCCCTATCAATCTGGGGTTTCTCTTTTTTCTTCTCCCCCACTATTGATTGTAAAATTTCTAGTAGTTATGGAGTGGCACAGGAAGGATTGTATTCATTGGGCTTTTGCTGTGCACTTTTCAATAACTTATAACTGGCTATATATTACTCTAAACATAAATGGCAAAGATGCCTTGTATTTTTCTAGCAATTGTTATCCTTAATTTTGTTATGTGTTTATAAGTAAGAGTATTAAGCTTTTGCTGTATAAATTCATATGCTATATCAACTTTGTGCAAAAATTCAATTAGTTTAGTTTATAAACTTTTTATAGAAATACATATTGCAAGAAAACTGGGAGTGCTGCTGTATGTTTTAATATCTCATAACACAGAAGTCTTTTTATGATGAACCTCGTATAGTGTAGCTTGAGTAAATTGTATGTGATGCTTCCTAACTGTATGATATTAAATTCCAAATCATTCTCAAACAATAAGGGTATTCTTTTTACAAATATTTTAATTTGGATGAGTCAGTATCAAAGTTTTAGTCATTGTTCATATTAGGTATGATGCTAGTTAAATAATCTGAATATAAGTTGAGAACTTATGTAAGTAGGAGAGAAAACATGAATCTATCAGCTAGGACACGTTTTCTCTCCTACTTTGCTTTTACTGTTGCAAAGGAATAGGCAGCTTTAACTCACATCATTCATTCATCAGACAAAAAGCAGGTTTGCATCCCAGTCCTGATGACATATCACATCAACATTAAAAAAAAAAAAAATCAGGATTCCTTCATTTAGAAAAGGTTAGGAATTTAGGTACTTAACTGTAACTCCCAAACAGCTGTTTGGAATTTTACATTAAATAGTAGTTAACACAGTTCAAAACTCATCCTTCCCCACTAAGAGCAATCTAAATTGACAAATTTTTATTAATCTGCTGTCCTAAATAAATTGAAATCCCTTTTAGTAACATGATAACCTCCAGGAAGAGCTACAACCTACAGCCATGCTTTGGTTAGGCCACATGCCTGAGCACTGGAAGCATTCCCTGCCACAAGATCTTTCCAGGGTGAGTTCTCCATTCTCAGGCTATTTTATAGCAGAAAGCAGCATGACTTCCTTTGTCATTGGCAATATGTCTTTCTCAGTCTAACATGGAAACTCAGACCAGTGTCTCTGTGCTTACAAATTTTCTGCACCTCAAATTTTCCACCTTGCACAAATCTTAGGCACTTAGGTGCTCTCTTTACCATGAATCACCTGGTATATACATCTCTTGATAGCATGGCTGTTTCTAGCTCTGACAAGTGCAGTATATACGAAAAGCAGGTATACAGTGTAGGACTGAAAGTCAGTAAACTGCAGAGGCTTCATGCAACCAGACCTGCAACCTGGTAGCAAAAGCCTTCTACTGTATCCTTAAGCACAATGCAAAATGGGTCTCAGAAGTTGACCAAACTTTATTATCAGTGTGAAAACTATTTATATTGAATTGGCAGGGAACAAGAAAGACCCAAAAGAAAGATCATCCTAACATCCTGACACATAAGAGAAAATAGTCACCTTAAAAGTACTATGCCTTTAAAATCAATGCCAATAAAGAGCTATGCAGAAACGAGCCAAAATCATTTGCATCAAAAGTCAACAATTATAATTCTCTACAACTTACAAAGCAATTTTGAAGTAGGAAGAGAGAAAGAAGAACAGGGTTGGATTTTTTGGCACATTAGTATAGTCTCATCAGAACAGTAGATTCTCCAACAATTATTTTAATTACTTCCATTTGCCTTTCATATTAGTGTTGTCACATGAGCTTTCCCTTCTATTAGGCATGGCCCCATAAAAGACAGCATTTTTACCTTCCCTGTTCTGAAGACGAGAAGCAGGGACAACTGCTTATGCCTTGCTTTTAAGCCTTTTTCCTTATGGGGCAATTCTCAATATCACTACCTAGCTCCACCGATTTTGTCAGCACTTTCCTTCCTTTCATTAGCTTGAAGGGTAAGTCAACTCCAGAAAGTATCAAAGCCACAAAAATGACAGAAAATGTCTCTGTTCCATGCAAGTGTCACAGAAGGCCTGAGCACACTGTCAAAGACAATCAACTTTATTCTTAAGCAAACTGCCTGGAAACTGGGGACTTAAATCTGCAGCCTAATAAAATCAATGGTTTTGGTTTGGCCGTGGGACAGTAAACATAAGTGGTATTTTTGGGAAGTGGAAGCAGAACGTGGCTATCTTGTGATCACCTGTCATCCAAACACAGACACCAAACACATGGAAACTTCCAGCAAACAGTTTAGAACTGAAGCATGAGCCACTTCTCAGTCATGTATGTCTACTAACTGGAGTGTGCATTCTTTTGCCCTCATTGGCCTCAAAAATTTTGCCACTATCTTCAGTTGAAGGAAGAATAGGTTCTGAAAAATTGCTGTCTATGATTAAATGCCAGGATTTAATCTCTGCTTTGAAGAAAATGACCACTTTAAATTTAATCTCATTAGGATCAAAATTTCCTTTCCTTTCAACCAATCAAGTCTGGTTAGTGAAGTGTCCTTGATCATAAGCTGTCTTCATGAAATTAAGGGTATTTATTGTTTTATTACTCTCTGATTTGTTTACATTCATCTGCATCTATACAGAAGCAAATATTGTGCCCTATTTGTCTCTGCATTCCACATCCAGAGCAGTTGTCTGTGAATAGCAGCAGGGTCCCTCTTTAGCCATGCCAGGACAATGAAGGGCAGGGTTAGGGTTTGCCACAGCCAGAAGGAGCAGGTAGCATCGCTCCCCGCTGCCAAGCAGCTCCTGGGAGCTCCAACAGACCCTCAGCCCTGGGCTAGAACTGAACCTACTGCTGAACTTCACACTGGACCAGTTCCTAAGACACCAGCATGGGAATCCTGCACTGCTGTTTTTGCTAGCAAACGTTAACTAAACTTTTCCAACCTTTGCTGAAGTCAGATACGGCCTTTACTACTTAACAGCAATTGGAGTACAGCAGAATGTAAGCAAAGGGATATAAAACTATTTTTCTACCCTGGTGGATGTGATCAGATTACAAGTATGATAAACAACTATCTGCCAAAGAATACAAATTAGAGACAACAAGAAGTCAAAAGATTGAGAAAAAGACTGGCAAGATTTAGGAAAATACTTTAAATTAGATGGGAAAATCACAAAAATTACTAACTTAGCACCACTTTGAAAGCTTTGGTAAGTTCCAAATCAAACAAACTATATAATCAAAATAGTAATTTTTTTAAAATGAAAAGCAGATTCACTATTATGTAGTTTCTGAAATTCTCTTGACACCCTTGGGTATTTTAAGAATATATTACTTGTTCAGAAAAGGTAGATGCGAAAACAGCTTTCTCTCATCTAAACACTCTAAATTAAGTGAGATACACAAATTTGTTGAACTAATTCTGGTGAGGACTAGGAGCCAGTTTAGAAAAAAAAGCCAGACCTGTCTGGCACAGCATGTTGGTAGCAAATATATGAACAAGGAATTTACTCCCCAATGGTCAGATTTGCTCAAATCTGAACAGAGACTAGACTAACACAAACAATTAGGAGAAAGTGACTAGGATCAGTTGCTTCTGTTAAGCCCAAATATCTGCCAAAAAAAGAGGTTTATGACAGAATATAATGCATGTGCGCCATGGAAACTGTCAGGTGTTAAGTCAGTCAAATTGGGGAAAATATTTCTAGCCTCTAAGAAATTCTTCTGTAAGGCAGCTGTTAGGTAAACCTTTACAGAAAACTATATTATTAAGATTAGCAGAGTCAGTCACATCAGTAATTCAGGAAGCCAACACACAGCTCCTGTTTTTGCCAACATCTACCCTGGTAATGAGGATGTACCAGTATTTTAAAAAGACTTGCTATCGGTAAGGTGTAATAGTATTTTCTAAAACCAGAAAACTCCAGCAGAGGGAATCCAGGGGAAACCTCAGACTACCAGCTAGTCCTCCAGAAGCACAGGGCACGTAAGACAGAGCCGTGATTCAGATTCCAACACAGCACCAGTGCATGCAGAGCAGCTGCAGGTCCTTCCAAGAGCTCCTGCTTTTAAGCTCCTGCCCCAGCGGCCCACAAATGACAAATCAGATACCCACCCATTTCATGGTACAAAAGAGCAACTAGAAAGATACCTGAAACAATAGAAAAAAAGGAGCTTAAAAAAGGCAATAAGGCCAGTCACCACAAAGTCACTGAAGAATATCATCACCTTGGGCAGCCCTCGTTTCATAAAGAAAAACCACATCCCCTTGGCCAGATGCTATGCATGAGCAAAACCTCAGGA